TATATATATATATATATATATATATATATATATATAGATTACAAGTGTGATTTAATTGCACAAATGTGATAACAAGATTATACTGAATTTTAAAAATAAAAATAAAAATTTAATTTAAATAAATAAAAATCTTTATAAATAGTATTAAATTAAATAATTAAGATATATATTGTCTTTTGAAATACCATGTCCATAGGTCGTCTATTCATGTTGTTCCCATCAATTCTACAATGAATCTACATGTAATTATTAGAGTTTTTACGTAAAAATAAATCATGCCTCTAAACGTTAATTTTTAATAAACAAATAACTATACGAGAAACCAATCATTTTTTTTTTAAAGAAATGCTTTGAGAACTCAAATTCTCTAATTTTATCATTATTCATGGTCTACAATATTACCCAAGAGTCATTCAAGCATTAATTAGATCTAGGGTACTCACATTATCTCAATTAATAGTGTTATTACCCCAATTACTTATTTTAAAGCAATTTCGATGCTAAAGGTCACATCTTTATTGACCTCAAGATTCTCAATCATCACAATTCACTTTTTTTAGAGCAATAATCTCTTTGCTAAGGAGCATTAGTTTACAAACTAGAAGCAATTCTATAGGTGATAAGATTTTCCCTACAATTTCATGAACCTAGGGGTTCTAAGACACAATTTCACTATTAGCAATAGTTCTAACGATTCTAAAGTATTAGCGTTTAATAAACAAAGAAGTTAGATGAAAAAACTTACCTCGATGAAGAATTTTCTTTCTAGCCTTAGAAAAATCATCCCTCTAGATTGTGGCCTATGGGCCATATAATTGATGTTACTGTAGGAGGGTGCTCGTTTAAAGTTAATATTAGTAAAAATTTATATAAAAGTATTTTCAACTCATCATCATGCAATGTGAGTGATTGATCAACTAAGCTATTCACTTTCTTTGAGTAGATTTTTCTATTTTAGGACATTTGACTTAACTAAATTAATGATAACTCTTTATTTTTTTGATTGAAATTCAATCTAGGTAGACTCATAGTGAGTAATTATATTACATACAATCATATCATATAATGTCATCACTCATCGATATTTATAACTAAATAAAATAAGAATTACACATTAGATGTCAATAAGCTCTACTATAATTATATAAGCTTATAATAATTTCTTGGAATCATTCACATTAAAATAACCTTTTGAAACTTAACACTATTGACTTTTGTAATGTTATTTTGGTCCACAAATTCCTTAAGCACTTAACAAAAAATATAGTATATGATATAGGTGAGTGATGTATAGATAGATATATATGTTATGTTTATTGGTGTTGGGAAAAAGTAGGTTATCAGATTCCTCATAAATAATAGGAGTGAAGTACAAATGAAGAGCACTCTATCAAATGCCCCTTTTCTAATATTATAATATTTCTTTCTTTTTTAAAAAAATTATTTTCCTAATGATGATTTTTTTAATTAGAAAATACTTCATCTTACTTCAATTCAAAATATGTAAAACTATTCTGCTTAAATTGTTAAAATGAGTAAGAAGAAAAAAAGTTATTTTCTACTTATTTACTAATAGTTAAAATGATTTTAAAATAAAAGAAACAAGAATTGAATTCTTTAATAGTAATATTTTTATTAGGAGTGGAGTATGTTTAAAAGAAAACGAATACTAATATATTTATTAGGAAAAAAAGTATTTTTAACCTATTAATAGGATATTTTTAAATCAAACTATTAATAGTAGAGAATTTAAATCAAACTATTAACACTAAGATATGTTTTACACCAAATTAATAACTAAGAGCATTTTTATTTAATTTCATTAAATTAAAATTTTTTTTTAGATCTTCAAATAATATATATATAGAGAGAGAGAGAAAGAGGGGTAAATAAGTATATTTATGCAGACCTCCCATTTGCCAATGTACATTATTCTTTTGTCAATGTACATTATGATTAAAGTAAAATAATCATAATGTTGTCTTCATAAATGTAGTGATGTTTCTAATTTATAGTAGATAAATATTGGCTGTGCAGAGCACAGGACTAAATATTATTTTATTTATTTGACTTTATATTTTACGTAGTTACTCTTTATTACATTATTTCATTCATTTGAAATAACATAATTTATATAGCAATCACTACTTACAAACAATTATAGTTTAAAAAAAAATGAAAATTACTGTAAATTCTTTAGAGAGAATATCTATAAATTCACCAACACATTAATGATGCTCAATTACATATATAGATATGTTGTAATTTAATATGAAAATACAAAAAATAATTTTATAATATATACATTCAAGTGTATTAAATCTTGCTTTTTTCTACACATTTTTTAAAAGGCAAAGGTGGATGTGAAAAATTAGCTGCACTTGGTCCAAGCCTATTATCATAGAGTTGTTTGCTGTGAAAATTGTTGAATTTCCTATTTTGTTGTGTGTCTGTCTCCATCTTTGTAGTGCAAGTTCATATCGAGATGACTTAAAATTTAAAACATCAAGCATATTATTCGAGTAAAATATCTACGTATATAAACGATATAAGGTGTCAACTAATGTAGCTCTAGAGATATATGCATTGTCTTTTGATAATGCATATTAGAACTCCAGAAAAATCAAAGATAAATATTCTGTTAGAAATTAAAAAATGAGCAATCCACATAGCTCAAATGCACACAGTTGGGGAAGTACTTATCAAAAGACCATCAGTTATTTCTATAGTTTAGATAACCGTTATAAGATATTACTACTGATTCTTAAATATAAATCACACTAATAAACATGTTGTATTTTCTAGGTTAAGTACCCTTTAAGAACCATTAATGGACCTAAGTTTAGCACCATCTCCTCTTTAGAAAAACTTAAAGTTTGAATTAATGTTTGCTATATTGTTTTGGGTTCTGAAATACCAAGAGTGACTTTGGCGTAGCAACTTATGCTTTTTTTAACATAAATGCATATAGGCCATCTTTAGGTTGTAGAGTCTGATAAATATTTAATATATTGTTATATATTAATGTTCTCGCGGTTCAATCTTTTTTTAGGCTGTACTATTTATTCTCTGTAACCTAAAATACTCTGAATTATTAATATATATATATATATATATACCCATCGCCGTGGAAATTTACTCACGGGTTGTTATCACAAAATATTGATTTCTCTCTTTCTCTCTCTAGATCTCTCATCTCTCTCTCTCTCTAGAAAGTTTTTGTGTTCTTCATTCATTAAGTGTGAGTGTGGATTCGATCCTAACACCATCACCATTGACCCAGTATCCAGAGAGTTTCTGTTCAAAAACATTTGGAAAATAAATGTCATCCTTACCTATCTTTGCGAAGAAGAAGATGAACTTGTTATGAAATAAAGAGAGAAGAGGAAGAAGAAGAAGGAGAAAGCTCAGCAGAAGAGAAGAGAAGATGAAGATGAACTAAGAAGAAGAGTATGTTGTAGAGAGAATATCTCAGCTTTTCATTATTTTATTAATTAATCATTAAGATACAATGAAGTGTTTATATAGAAAACTAATCAAGAATCTTTTTAAGTAACTAACTTCTTGAATTGTAACTAACTACTCTATACTTGTAACTAACTAACTACTTAACTAATTACTTTTAACACTCCCCCTCAAGCTAGGTAGTGTGAAAATGTTACAAGTTCCTAGCTTGGAATTGAGATACAAATGTTGAACTGTATTAAGACCTTTTGTAAGTAAATCAGCCGATTGATCTTTTGTTGATATGTACCTTGTTGCTACCAATCCTTTGTCTATTTTTTCCCTTATGAAGTGGCAGTCTATTTCAATATGTTTGGTTCTTTCATGATACACTGGATTGGCTGCAATTTGTATAGCAGCTTTGCTGTCTGAGTAAATATCAATAGGTAGTTTCAAGTTTACTCCCAACTCTTTCATCAGACCTATAATCCAAATTAATTTTGAAACTGTGGCAGCCATGCTCCTGTATTCTGCTTCTGCAGAGCTCTTTGAAATGGTTGTTTGTTTCTTTGACTTCCAAGTTAACAGAGAATCTCCAAATTTAATCAAGTAACCTGTCACTGACCTTCTTGTATGTGGACATGAAGCCCAGTTTGAGTCAAAGTAGGCTGTAAGAGTTGTATTCTTGTTGCTGGACAACAAAACTCCTAAACCTGGTTGATTCTTCACATACCTTACAACCTTAGGGCAGTTTCCATGTGTAATTTTTTTGGTTGTTGAAGAAACTGACTTAAAGTATTGACTCCAAAGGCTATATCAGGTCTTGTTACAGTTAGGTATAACAACTTTCCTATCAGCCTTTGGTATGCTCCTTGATCTGCTAATGGATCATTTGTGTTGAACTTTTCTGAATTTCCTAATCTGATGTACTCATCAAGCTACTTAGTTGTTAACTTAACATTTGTATCCATTGGTGTTGCAGCTGGTTTAGAACTGCTGAGTCCTGTCTCTGATATAAGCTCCAAAGTGTACTTTCTTTGGTGCATAAGTATACCTTGATTAGACCTGGCAAACTCAATGCCTAAGAAGTATCTTAGTTCTCCAAGATTCTTCATTTTAAACACCTGTTTTAACTTCTCTTTTGTTTCTTTCACAATTATTAGACTATCTCCTGTGACTAATAGATCATCCACATACACAAGGATAATCACTATTCCAGATTCATCTTTCTTGATGAACATAGACTGATCATACTCACTCTGTTTAAACTTAAGTTCCACTAATGCCTTAGACAACATAGCATTCCATTGTCTAGGGGCTTGTTTCAATCCATATAATGACTTCATAAGTCTACATACTTGTTGTTTCTCCCCCTGACTTGTGAAACCTTGAGGCATTCCATATATATTTCATCAAACAAATCTCCTTGTAAAAATGCATTAAACACATCCATTTTGTGTACACACCATCCCCTTTTTGCAGCTAGTGCCAATACTGTTCTAACAGTCTTCATCTTTACTACAGGAGAGAATGTCTCTTGGTAGTCAATACCTTCTTGCTGGTTGAATCCTTTAGCCACTAGTCTGGCTTTATACCTTTCTACCTCTCCTGTGGATTTATATTTGACTTTGAATATCCACTTGCAGCCTATTGGAGTTTTTCCTTCAGGAAGAGTTACTAAGTCCCAAGTATGGTTGCTTTGTAATGCTTCAATTTCTGACTTCATAGCTTCTATCCATCTTGAATCTTTAACAGATTCTGTGTAAGACTTTGGTTCAGTATGATTTGAGGCTGCAACTATGTATGCACTATATTTGTCAGAAATATTCTCATAACTTATATAGTTTTGAATGCCATAGTCTGATTCCTTTTGAATATTGAGAGATACAAAGTCTTTTAACCAAATAGGTGGTTTACTACTTCTTCTAGACTTTCGAGATGGTTGCAAAGGAATCTGTGTTGTATCCTCATTTATCACAGTCCTTAACTCCTCTTCCTCATTCTGTTGGCATGATTTCCTACCTTCATATTGTATGTGTTGTTGAACTTGATGAGTAGATGTAGTAACAGGAATACTGGACCATTGATATGCATGATCTAAAGTTGAATGAGTGTCTTTAAACACAGGTTCTAACTGTTTTCCTTTACCAAATGGAAATGTTGTTTCATTGAATATGACATCCCTGTTAACAAAGAACACTTTATTAGTTAGATCATATAAAATATATCCTTTTTGCACCTCTGAATATCCCATATGAACAGACATTATAGACCTTGATTTAAGTTTATCATGTTGATTTGGCATTCTAGCAAAGCATAAACACCCTAGTACTCTTAGATGAGCTATAGATGGTTCTTTTCCATGGAGTTTGTTAAATGGAGTTTTTCCTTTTAACATTGAACTAGGAAGCCTGATTATCAAGTAAGCTGCAGCTAGGACACAATGTCCCCAGAATTTTATAGGTATATTAGCCTGCAACCTAATGGCTCTATATTTTCTAGAATATGTCTATGTTTTCTTTCAGCTACCCCATTTCGTTGGGGTGTATACACACAAGTTGTTTGATGAATAATTCCTAATTGTTTAAATAATTGTTCACATAATGAGTTAATGAACTCAGTTCCATTATCAGTTCTAACTATCTTAGCTGTTTTACCAAACTGATTTCTAGTAAAATTCATAAAATATTGAAGAGATACACAAACATCATATTTCTATCTCAAAAGAAATATCCATGTATATCTTGAATAGTCATCTACAACTGTTAAGAAATATTTGTGTCCATCATATGTATTGGTTTGATAAGGACCCCATAGATCTAAGTGAATCAATTCAAAACAACTACTACTTTTTATACTACTATTCTGAAAAGGTAATCTACACTGCTTAGCACAAGGACATACTACACAATCTCCTATCTGAGTTCTAATAGAAGTAAGCTCAATGTCAAACAGTTTATGTAACACTGAAGTAGATGTATGTCCTAATCTTTTGTGCCATAGATTTATCTTGTCTGTTGACACATTCTTAACATCTTGAGCAGCTAGACTGATAGATCTTCTTGCATCTTTATTTAGTAGCCAATATAGCCCATTCTGCTCTCTACCAATCTCCTTCACCTTCCCAGTGAAGAGATCCTACAAAACAAAAAAGTCAGGAAAGAAAGAAGCAGAACATTGTAACTCTTTTGTTAGTTTTGAAACTGATAACAAATTAAATTTGAATTCTGGCACATACAATACATTAGATGTAGTACTACCATCAGATATACTACTTAAACTAGTATGAGTAACTTTTGTTTCATCTCCATTAGGCAATTCAACAGTTCTATTATAGCCTAACTTATTAACTGATAACTTGTTTAGTAACTCTAAGCTTGAAGCCATATGATTTGTGTCTCCTGTGTCCACAATCCAATTAGGTTTGTGAGACACATTCATAGCCATTGAGTTAGTCATACCTGCTGTGTTTGCAGCTGTGTTAGACATAGAATTCTGGTTGATTTGAGGACTGTGTTGTGCTAGCATCTGTACTATATGATTGTATTGTTCTTGTGTAAAGTGATTAGCCTCAACTTGACTTTGTTTGAACTGAATTTGATCCATGCTACTTGAACCTTTTCCATGACTAAACACATTCGTATCAGAACCATACTTGATCTCAGATTGCTCATTTCTAGCCTGAAGTACCTCATTTTGTGTGTTCTCTTTTGCACTCACATTGTAAGCTGCACTCTCACCTTCAGAGAATTTCTTCTTTTTAAACTTGAATTCAGGGGGATATCCCACTATTTTCCAACAATTATCCTTATTGTGTCCTCTTATTTTGCAAACCTCACAATATAGATGAGAATTTCTTGTAAACTTTTGATTATCACTTGTTCTGCTGTACATAACAGATTCATAGTTGCCTGTATGAGACATTGGATTTGCACCCTAGATTCCATTCATAGCTGACACAGACCTTTGACTCTCATCACCCATCACCACAACATAGGCTTGATTGATTGAAGGTAATGGACTCATGATCAGTATTTGACTTCTTGCTTGATTATATGAGTCATTCAGCCCCATCAGAAACTGGAACAGTTTCAGTTTTTGCAAATGCAATATGAACTCCTTAGATCTTTCACAGTTACAACCGGGTGGTGGTACCAAAGCCTCAAATTCCTCCCAAAGAGTCTTAAGTTTGGAGAAATAGACTGTTACAAAATTTACTCCTTGAGTTAGAGTGGCTATTTCCTTATGCAGGTTGAAGGTTCTTGAACCATCTATCTTGGTGAACCTTTCTTGTAGATCTTGCCAAACTGATTTTGCTGTGGCTGCATACATAATGCCACCTAGTAAACTCTTAGAAACAGAGTTCATTAGCCAAGATTGAACAACGGCATCAACTCGATCCCAATGATTCCACAGATTTTCACTATATTTTTCTTTATCACATAATCCATCCACCATTCCTAGTTTATTTCTCCCTAGCAGAGCAATGCGTATAGAACGAAACCAGATTGCATAGTTTTCCATACCTGTTAGCTGGAATGAAATGATCTGATTTCCACTAACATCTGATGGAGATAAGAACAATGGATGATTGTAGTCAATTTCTTGACCAATGTTGACAGCTCGATTGGCATTCTCTTGAACAATTACTGGTTCATCATCTCCAGCCATTTTTTCAGAGATTTCGATTTCTTCAATCTCTTTCACGATCGATTAGCGGAAGCAATAGTACTGATTGAGATTCAGATTTCACAGAGTTAGATCCCCTGCTCTGATACCATGAACTTGTTATGAAGTAAAGAGAGAAGAGGAAGAAGAAGAAGGAGAAAGCTCAGCAGAAGAGAAGAGAAGATGAAGATGAACTAAGAAGAAGAGTATGCTGTAGAGAGAATATCTCAGCTTTTCATTATTTTATTAATTAATCATTAAGATACAATGAAGTGTTTATATAGAAGACTAATCAAGAATCTTTTTAAGTAACTAACTTCTTGAATTGTAACTAACTACTCTATACTTGTAACTAACTAACTACTTAACTAATTACTTTTAACAGAAGAAAACATCAGCGATATCCAATAACTGGTCTGACGTTAAAAATTAACTATTTTATAATCATACATTGCACGTGAATCCTATGAAACCATTACTACTGGAACATACATTGCAACATGTGAACCAAATTCTGATCTCCCTCCTCGCAGGTCGGCTTGTCTTTTCCCGCTATTTCTTTTCACTAAAAAGAGCGATTGAGAATCTCGAGTCACTGAGGGGAGGAGAGAAAGAACGCATGCATGGAGATTTTGTCTGTCGGAGGTTCGAGAATCTATGAAAGGACATCTAAGACTAAGGTTACGAAGTAAAGGAAGTCCATTACTGTAATTTTGTTTTGTCAAATATTTCCTTTTCTCCTCTATACTATATGCACTCTAAATGGCAAAATAATAGCGTATCAATAACATCTCCCTTATTTAGAAAAGGGAGTTTGAGTGGACGAACAATGCATTATTAGTTGTACAAGATGTTGAGTAAATTGTACTGCATATTTGAAATTTATTTTTATTGAGGTGAGACACGTGTACTAACATTTTTTTGGGCCAAACCACGTGTCATTCTCATTTACCTACAATATTATACAGAGGTATAACTTTTCAGATTCATTTGGGTAGGTTTTTCATTTCTTTCTACTTTCTACTGTCGTACAATTTCGTGCTTATATAAAATATATATAAAAAATGTACACCCTGATTCTTTCTCTATGATGTTTGCTCTGATAGTTCTTTCTGCTTTCAATTCTTTAAGATTCAGTAACTAAAATTTAGTATGTGTAAGTTTCTCCCTCTTTTGGATATAATTTTTGCCTGAGATTTCTACATGCATGTTACTAACAACTTGATTTGCACATGAATTGAGTTTTTTTTTTGTTTTTGTTTTGATAAATTTATTCTTTATAGTCAACTAATTTACTGCAAAAATTAGACCGTCTCGCAAAATTTAAGATATCAACAATGCCCGTGTCTTAAATTTTTAAGTGGATTGTGCATCTAAATTGTTTGATAATATGCCTCATTGTCAAAAAAAAAAAAAGGATTGCCAGAAAGATTCACTACAAGCTGATTTGGTTGTATTATAATAATTTGATTGTGTATGGTCTGGGGAGGATTGAGTGGATATAGACTTTAATTCTACCTCATTGAAATAGGGAGACTACTTCGGAAAGACCAGTACCTCAAGTGACACATATAAAAGTTAAAATAAAATGCTTAATCATAGTTAGATACTTAGCGATGGAAATTCCATGTCGAGTCTTTAATATATCATTTGATTGTGAATAAGCTCAACATTATCCCTTACTAGAATTTAGGTTTGGGTATTTTCCACTTCCTATTGATTTAAGTCTCAGAATATTAAAATTTATTTGAAAATAAATATGCAATACTTAAAAGATACTAGCATATTTTGATTGAAAAATAAAGAAAAAGACAGCAATAATGAGTAAACAACGCAACTCATGTATTGCACTTTACTTGAAGTCCCATGATTGGTTTCTTCTTCGACACGTGTTTACCTTTTTTTCTATTTATTTTGAAGTCTCATTTTTGTTTGTTCTGTTCTCTTCAATTCTTTTGAGTTCTATAATAATTAAAAGTGATCACAATTCGGTATGTGGACCTTAGATTCCTAAACTTTTGAATATAAATTATAGCTTAAGATTTCTAAGTGAATTGTGGACATATAGTATTTGGTATTATGCCTGAGTCATTTTATATTGAGTACTTCATTGTTTCTTTCCTTCTTGTGTTGCAGCGAGGAAATTGGTTCATCATATTGGCCGTTATGCCTTCCATACGTTAAAGGTATGAATGTAATTAAATTTTCGACAGGTAAAGTATCTTTTTCCTTTTTTTCTTTGTAATTTCAATGAATTTGTCCTTGCTATTGTTCTTGCTGTCAAGTGTCAAGGGTGTTTGCATTTTTGTTGTTGCGTGTTGAAGCTGCAGATATTTGAATGTCATTGGAAATGATAACGACAAAGGAATAGGTGATGATACTAATTTCATTTTTGTATTTTTTTTCCCGACACATCTCCAATTTTTTTATCCTTTGAATGTATATACTTATTCTTTGTGTTGCACATATTGTCTTTGTCTAATGAATTATCTGTATGCTCGGAACAAATATTGTGTGATAACATTTTAAATTAGGTTTTTTTAATAGTAAAATGTCACTCTTCCTCAATACTATAAAAACTAAAGAAAATCAAGTGATACTTCTAATAAAGTGGAACAATGTCACATTGGAGAAGAAAATAGTAGGTTTAGAAATAAAGAGAATAAGAATAGAAAATGATAATTTACTCATAAAGTGGTTATGTTGTGAAATAAAGACACTTTAGAGAAGGGTGATTATAAAAATATGAAGTAAAAAAAGATGTATGGTGCATAAATAAGTTATGGAGCAATTTGAAAATGATGTATGGAAAGCATATAAGAAGAATGTGGATCTTTTTGAACTAATGTATGCTTTGTTTCAGATGATGAAAGCAAAATAGTATTTTGGCACGACAACTGATGAGGTCACCTAGTTTTAGTTTTGAGTTTTTACGGATTTAATTCCTTTATGATTAAAAGACGTTTGATATACGTGAAAATTAATTTTTTTTGGATTCTTGCTCACTTTTATAATTATTACTCGACTTAGCTAATGTGGCAGAAAGCAACCAAGGTTTAGAGACAAAACAACAAGCAGACTATGGGAAGGGTTGATTTCAGATTCTCTTAATTTTCAAGTCCTTTTGGTACAATTTCATGGTGCATAAATAAAATATAAAGAAAAAGGACAACTGCGACATTTTATTGTTGTTAGCATTGGTAGCTAAATACATGTGAATCTGAGACAAAAAGGGCGACTGTGCGAGGATTATGAGATAAAAGCACATTCTTATGTTTTTTAAAGCTAAAATCAAAAAACAATTGCTGATTTACACGTTTCAACATGAAGCAAACTCAAAGCCCCATTCCCATTCTTACTGTTGATAAATGTCTATTATAGTGAGTAACATCATAACCATGAAAAATAAGATAAATGCAGTATATTGTTCATTTATACTATTCTTACATCTAGATTGGGAAAAAAAATGCTACTTCTATCTCACTGTACTTTTTATCTAATATGAGCTAGAAGGAGATGATCTACGTCGAATTAGCAGACAACCAATTGAGTTCAATAATCAAGTTAGCTATGTCTAAGATTTGAGAATTAAATGAGCAATTTTGGTAGTCATTATTGGTGTTATATTATTTTTCATGTATGGAAGCCTAATTGTCTCAAGAATAACACCAGTGTATATAGTTATGTTGTTATACGTCCAGACAAACAATTATTTCCTTAATTGAGGGTTGGAGTAAATACTTTGGCTAATTGTTACAATTTAAATTTGATTTATCATTTTTAGCCCTGTAGTTGAATTCACCTTTACAAAGCGCGGTAACTGATGTGGTGATATTTCATTGACCGTACTTTATTTACTCTATTGTGGCATCTATCACTGATCAACTTTTTCTTGCGTCAATCATATCAACATATGCAATTTAAGCTTAATTTTTTTCCTACTTTTGAACAATTTTTTTTTAATTATTGTTTGCTGCTATCTTTTATCATCAAATAATTATGCACAAAAATCACAACTTAAAATATAAAAATATAAAATGTTGAGCCCGTGCTAGCACAGCCGTTCCAATCTAGTAATATAAATATGTACTTCTGCTGCAAGGCAGAGTTGACTCACCCATTAAAATCTTATTGTAATTTGAACGAAAAAAGATTAGACAAAATTCTACATTTTAGGAAGGGAAAAAGTAAAAGTGGAGAATTAAACTCACCATAGATGAAAAGCAAAAACGCTTTGAATTCTAGGGTAAATGACA